ATTATACTCATTTCTTAATAGTTTTGAAATGTACCATTGCATCATGCACATTAGGTGAGGTCCCCCCGAATAGACATGTAATTAGACCTTTGAATACAACCCAGTTATCAGTACAAATAACAGAGGCCAGGACTCATTACTAACCAAGCAGCTGACAACTCAGCCCTCTCACTACCCTGATGTATGTCTATCTATGTTAGCCATCCAAGTATAGGGGTTTCTGGTGCTGGAGCCATTGGTACACCAGTTGTCATCCCATATGATTAAAACTGCTTCTTGTACTTGGTCAGGGACAGGTGTTCTTTGGTTGCTCATGGTGGCTGGACCTAACATAGCATGCAATTCTGGGCTTAAGGGACTCATTGCCAGAACACTTCCTCTTGTAAACAGGCATGCCCTTTATCCAGGGTAGTTTTTTGGGCTTCAGTGGAAGCAGATTCTTTCAATTTTCCTACTAATCATCCTTTAACTGTTAGACCCATTCTCACAGTCCAAGAGGGTCTTTGTTAATGGTTTTGCTGGAGGTAAAGCATAATATACCAGAGGCACTTGTTGATCATGGGAGAGAATTAAGCTCTACAAAGGACACAAAAAAGGGGGCTTGTGGGTGGATGGGAAGAAGTCTGGTCTGCTGGACAAGAAGTCTGGAGGTCCCATAAGAACATGGGTATGAGGTACCCTAGGTAACTAATGACCAATACAAAGAGATGATAATCAATGACCAATAGAAAAGGGTGATCATTCCTGGAGGCACAGAGAGGCCAGTGAAAGAGTTGCAAGCAATTTCTGACTGAGAGGAAGAGGGACTTGTTGCTCTGCACCGACTTTGAGTCCTGTCTCTCTCACCTCTTCATCATGAAAGGGACCTACTTCCAACTCTCTTTGGAAGTGCTCTAAATTTCTCTTTGTTCTTCTTACATAAAATTTCTCTCTATTACACTGACCTTGTGCAGGTTCCTTCTGCTGTCTATTCATGCTACCTGTGCTGCTTCAGTTTTACTCTCAGCTTCTACTCCTTTTTGCTTTGAGTTCCAAACCTACTGAACTGAACTTTTCTAGCTCAGCTGAGTAATCGAACCAGATGAACTGTGTTCAGGAACTTGGACCCCTGATCCCAAAAACTCCTTTCCATAATGACCAAAATCCTGAAGGGAATGATTTACTATACTCTGGTTTCCCTGTGATCTTCCTCATAACTTCAGGTGTAGCAGCAATATCCAAAGGCACAGTGATTCTGCCTAAAGGATACTGAAGGCTGGTGTCTGCTGCCTCTCTTCAAAAGCTTCTTGCCGATGTGTGTCTCTGTCCTAATATGCCCCTTTTGTAATAAATCTGTAGAGTATTCTCAGTCATTGGGCTAACCGTGTGATAAAAGAGTTATTGTACTCCAATACATTAAAAGATCACCAAATATTTGGATTTCTCTTACTGTTGTCAGAATAGGGAATTGTGGGACATTCTCAATTACTCCTTGTATTAAGGAGTCTAACCCGACCCTAAAACTACACTTCAGGCCCTGGGTCCTGAATCTTCTGAGAGTTGGTTGCCCATCCCCTTCCCAAAGATGA